CCCCCCCCCCAAACACACACACACACACAGCTTGCCTCTGTTCTTCAACTCATCACTAAGTCTAACTTTGCCAAAACGTTCTAATCCTCGCTTCACTTACATTTTTTGGTTTAATCAGCTTAGGGCCTTGGGCTCCAATATGGCATATGCAAAATGTTTGCAGTTGCCTGAACGTGAATAGTATGTAAATGGATATTCACAGCATTTATCTCCTTCTGCTGGCTACTGTTTCATGTTACTGATTGTGAAATTTGTTCATATGCATAAGGTCATTACAACGAGCACTAGACAAGAGACTCTATCTTCTCGTTCATGGTACCAGACATGGCTCTCCTAGTGAAAAGCCTGTCTGGCATTTTCCAGAAAAAGTTTATGAGTCCGAAGAGACCCTGCGAAAGGTAAGTGGTATTTATTAAATATTTCCTGTCAAATTAGGGATTTTAGTATTTGAAAAATGAAATATAAGTTGCAACCGTTTACAGTGTGCTGAATCTGCCCTAGAATCGGTAATTGGGGATCTTTCACATACATATTTTGTTGGAAATGCCCCTATGGGCCATATCGTCGTACAACCCACTGAAGATAAGGAAAAGACATCATTTAAGGTATGGATATTCTTATTTGTGAAAGAAGTGAAGAAAAGAACATTCAGAAATTCTTACCCAAAAAAAAAGCAGAGAAATTCTCTGATATCTTCTGCCTGCGGAGTGTAGGTGCCTCTAATGTGTTTATTTATATTTATTGTGGCAGCGCTTCTTCTTCAAATCCCAAGTTATTGCGGCCAATAAATTTGATATTAGGAAGTGTGATGATTTTGTCTGGGTGACGAAAGATGAATTGTTGGAATACTTTCCTGAGCAAGCTGAATTTTTGAACAAGATGATCATCAGCTGATGTTAGTTTCCATTCCAACTTTAGCTTGGTAGGATAGCAGAGTTAGCTTTGATTATAGGCTGATGTTAAAATCCATTTGTTTCCACCAATGTAACTTTGACATCTGGAAATGATATTAGATCCTAATTGTAAGATCTGGCTTCAAGTTGCCAGTGCGCCAGGCCCTCTGACAGGGTTTGGATTCATCAAGTTTTGTAGAATTTTGAAAATAGGACACTTAAGATTGTGACGGCCTTCTGCCTCCGGGTTCTCCATACTCCTCTTTGTGAGAAGATGTGCTCAAAACTCTGAATTGTCCATGCAATTCGCTAGTAAATGCTTGTAGATGCATGATTTCATCTCATGTGATGAAGTAAGCAAAATAAATTACGTGTTTGTTGTAGTGGATGTGAGCTTTAGTCCAGTTGTCTCATAGCTGCATTGTGCATAGAGAATATTCTGATTTTCAAGGTGATTGCGTCTTTAATAGTTAAGTGCATGGTCTAAGTTTGAGGAGTTGTTGATGGATCTCGTGCTTTTCTGGTTTCTTGCTACACGAATAAGCTCTTAAAATATACCGAAATTTTGGAAAAAAAGGTAAAAGAAAAATGCCGAAATTTTGGAAAAAAAGGAAAAATAAAAGAAGGGAAAATTGTTTCAAAATTCCATGTTTTTCTGTTATGTCAAAACTGATCAAACTATGCGGGTTTGATTCTCACCGGACATGGGATACGTACGCAACCCTCAACAGTTCCAGCCTTGCTTTTGCAAAAAATAACCCAAAAAATTTGAAAAAAAAATGCTGTCTTTGTTGTCATAAATAAAGTGGGTGATGCCGTTTTTGTCTAAATAGTTGAACGTCCCAAAACGGGCGCCGGAAGGCCGTTTTTGCAAAAATAGCCATCGATGGTTTCTTCGCCAGTTTTTGGCCACCTAGCAAGCACATCTCTAAAAATTTCCCCTTTTGTAGTGTTGAAGGGCCGTATTTGCAAAAGTGGCCATGTTTCTTTTTAACCCTAGAATTTTGTAAAAATGACCCCTTTTATCAGTTTTAATAAATTCCACTTTGTTTTAAATCAATCACTTTAATCTAAATGTGCAGAATGAGCACGAGTCAAATTTTATCAATGACGATTATGACCAAGATTCCGTTGGAACTACATATGTGGTGGGAGGACCTGGGTAAGCAAGGACGAGACAGGGTCAACCATTACTTGGGGGTGCTCACCGGATTACTAAAGATCAGGCCTAGTGGAGACATAATAAAAGCACTGGTTACATTTTGGGACCCAACTCACAACGTTCTGCACTTTTCGGACTTCGAACTTATACCTACTTTGGAGGAGATAGCGGGCTATGCTGGGAGTACCGAGGGTCTAAGACATAAATACCTGGTCGTTCCAAGGGCCGTCACCCCTCACAAGTTTCTGGATTTGTTAAAAATAAGCAGGCAGGTCCAGTATGCAGACTTGTTAAGTGGGTTTTCCTCTCTATCCTTCATATACCAGCGGTACGGGCATGTAAGAGGATTTGATAATCCGGATAGTGGAATCTGTAGCAAAGATAACTGGTTAAAGTGGGAGGAGCATAGATGCTTCGCTTTCATGGTAGTGATCACGCCCAACTCTAGTCCTAAAAAGGATAAGCGGTCGCTGCAAATATAATCCGGTCTAAAAGTCCGGAGTCGAATCCCACAGAGAACTAAGGCTTAACTATATCTGTTTAATATCACTAAGAGGACAAATTTGAACAATTTTCTAAATTATAAAGATTGAGATTTATGTTTCTAACTAATTAACTAGCAAATACTACAAAACAGTAAAATTATCAACTAACGAGACAAAGGGTTGGAGACTAAATTAAGGAGGTCTAGAGTTATAATTTCCCCAATTGTCGGAATCCTTCTAGCTATGTTCCCTAACAATTTCGGCAATGTATTCTCTACTGATCGTGAGCACTTTAGGTGTCGTAATTCTCTCTCGAGCAAATACAACAATTTACTAGACATATTCTCTCGAACTACGCTAGTTGGCTTTATCTAACCGCTCATTATGACCACGTCAAGGCTTTGTTATTTCTAAACCTACCTTTAAACCCAACGTATTGATTTCTCACATACGTTAGGAGTGACGTTGTTCAACAACTATCTAAATATGTACTCTCTCTCGAGTAGTATACACTAAATAGGCACAGTCAATTGATGGCCATTCAATCAACAACAACAAACACGTAGTTGAACAAGTAGAGAAATCCAACTACTCAATTATATAAAAACATAACAAGAATTTATCCTACAAAAGGTTCTATCAAAACACCAGATAACAAATTAGCTATTCATAATAGTATGTAAAACTAAAATACTAAAAATCATAACCAACAATGAAAAATAGGAAGAGGAAGGAAAAACTCATTTGAAGAATTCCCCGCCTTGCTCCTATTGTGTCTCTGCCTCCTTAGGTTGAATCTGTGTCAAAAATATGTCCAACCTCTCTTAAAATACCGTTTTCCATGTATATATACCAAGTAGGGTCGGGACCAAACAATTATACTTCTCCTACGCGAAAAAGGACAATTGTTCAGGTCTGGACGCCGCGGTCGCGGTCCGGGCGCCGTATTTACCCAGTGTACTGCCTCAGTCCGCGTTCAGGTCCGCGGTTGCGGTTTCGACCGCGTTTTTCATCCTGTTCCATTTAGAATTTGGAAAAACGTAAAACATGAAAGTTGTAGCCCTTTGAGTTAACTTTCCAACCATATATTAAGGAGCACAAATAGAGTTCTGAGCGAAAAGTTATGTGTATTTTACTAGACAGTGCGTGATATGCCTACTCGATTCTTCGTTTTGTTGCTCTATCATCCGTTGATCCCCGAATACGATCCTGGCTTAATTCCTTGGGCTTTTATTCAGACTTCAAAGTACTAAATCACTTGAATTCATTCCATAACATCTATATAGCTCGGAATCACTCCTACAAGGCATAAAACACACAATTAGTGCAAAACACAAACGATTAAAACACAAACTCAACTAAAGTGCAGTAAATTTGAGTGTAATAAGCGACTAAAATACGTAATTATAGCCTATCATCAACACCCCACACTTAAACCATTGCTCGTCCTCGTGAAATCAAACTACACTTCATATAGACACGACCTTTTTAAACAATTCTCCTAACTCATCATACTAAGAATATTTAAAATAGACTAAGCATAAAAACGTAACATCTTCACCTCAAGATTTGACTCACAAGTACCACGCATTATTCACAACTCACCTACTTACTCTAACATAGAGGTCACTGACATTACCTTTCCTTCATGAATCAAGTGCCCTCACACAACAAAAGAGAGTAAGTCTACACAATAAAATTTAAGAACACTTAGGAACTCAAGATAGAAAGAATTCACTCACTCTCAAAAATAACATTCATATGCCACAAAAGATGCACCATAAGCGTGCCCGTAGTGTAATACTCCACTAATCGAGATCATTCAATCTAGGATCAATTAAGACTTATATTTGGTTGTAATGTAGGCTACGAGACGGGTATGATACATTTAGATATAAGAGTGACTACACCTCCCTAAGCACTTTAATACATATACTTTAACATTCAAACCCCATACTTATGTCAAACCAAACTCCACCTTCACATCAATGTATATTACCCATTCTTCTTTAAGCACACTTACATCAAAAGCCACCGCTTATCAAGGAATTTTTTTTCACAACAATCGAACTATTTCTTTTTTTTTTCAATTCAAGTGGCTCTTACTTTTTTCAAAGCAGTGCACCTTTCTCCTTATTTCATTTGTTCCACTCAAAAGCCAAACCAACCACCCCACACTTTAACTTTTACACAGTTCATAATAATTCAAGTGCTCATGAGAGGTTAAAAGGTTCAAATAGATGATTAATTCAAACAAATGGGTAAGGCTTGTAATGTGGTTGCCAAAGAAACAAGATTACAGGCTCAAATGGGTTAAATATGATACATAACAATTAGGTGGGTAAAATATACATATCTGGCCCAACAAAGAACGCCTATATCACTTCCAAGACTGAACAAAACTACTATTTCGCTTTGCAAACACACAGAGCAAGTTCTAGGCATCAAATGCAATGCACAGAATATAACAAATCCTTACACACACATGGCACATAACTCACTCAGGATTGGTTTCATCAAGACACTCTAGTCAAAGCAGTTAAGCAAATTTAAGATCATAAAATTTAAGGTACTTATACAAGAGTCAAAAATTGAGCCTAAGCGTCACAACCAAAGTACTCAGTATTCTCAAGGCATAACAATGTCAAGAGATATTGCTTCAATTCAAAACACAACACAATGGCTCCTACTCTCAAAAAAAAATACTAACTACACCCGGTTCAAACAAAACCCTTGGAAAAGAACCGCGGCACAAAGAAAAACCAAGGGGAATTATTACACTACCTACAAAGAAAATCTTTTTTTTAGACTTAAATCCCTCAAGAAAATTGTCTAATAGATCCATCGTCGGGAAAAGTCCAATCTTTTCTATTAAAAAAAAGTATTCAATTAAACTAACACAACTAAAATAGCATAGAAAGTCACCCAGACAATCTCCTCACCCCACACTTAAAATTGTGCATTGTCCCTAATGCACACCATAACTAATAAAAGGGTAAAAGAGACTCCCTGGTAGGCCAAAGGCCGAAGCACTAACAGCTCATGGGGTACTCAGACTTCTCCCAAGCTTGGTCCTTTGTGCGGGTACCTCACACTTAGTTCCAACCATTTGGTTTGTTGTTGCATCCTTTCTTTGCTTTTCATGCTCCTAGAAAATAAAAAATTGACACTACAAAAATAATACTATTAAATAAATAAATAAATAAATAAATAAAGCAATAAAGCTGGGTTGCCTCCCAACAAGCGCTTGATTTAACGTCGCGGCACGACGCGAATCACTTTTTGCCTCCACCTCGAGCTTATGAATTGAACCCCCAATTTGGCATCAAGTTTTCGGCTATGCTCTAGGGGTGGAGGAACAAATCTAATTGGCCCAAGCAACCATTGTACTATTCTACACTTCTTGGCTTTTGATGAGGTATGTAGTCCTGTCTTTCTGGCAAGAAAAATTCCAGAATGTAGGCACCTTGTTCCTCATTCCTTGACTTCTCAATCGGCTCGGATGAATCTATTTCCATATCGTCATCTAAGCACAATGTAGAAAAATGTTTGGAGTGAGGACCAATGCGCTCACACACATGAACTTCAGGACTTTCAACATCCTCAACATCAATGATACTAGAGTCAACAAAATTTGTATCCTCAATGTCCTTGGCTGACTCTAGTCTCACTTCTTCAACATTGGCATCCTCAAATTGTAGTTGTCTAGGTTGTTGATGTTCTACTCTGAACTCCC